TTTATATCAGAGGGCACAACTATGACCCCTGAGTCAAATCTTGGACACCATTCTTTTTTTTTTTAAAACAGCTTTATTAAGGGATCATTAATATTAAAGAACTTAATGTACTTAACATGCAGAATTTGATGAGTGTGAATATATGCAAACACCCATGACACTTCACTACAGTTAAGGTAACATATATCCAACACCCCTGAAAGTTTCCGTGTGCCCCTTTGTTCTTGTTTGTTTGGTTGTGTTGTTGTTGGAAAGGTATTTAACATGAGTTCTACCTTCTTAACAAAATCCGATGTGAACAATACCACTTTGTTAACTATAGGTATGGAGTTGTACAGTAGATTTCTAGAGCTTATTCACTGAGCGCAACTGAAATTGTTTACCAGTGAACAACCATCCCTCATTTCCCCTCCCCTCAGCCCCTAGCAACCACCACTGCATTATCTACATCTTTGAGTGACTATTGTAGACATCTCATATTAGTAGAATCTTTCAGTATTCTTCTGTGACAGGCTGATTTCATTTAACATATTGTTTGAAATTACCTTCTTTTTTAAGGCTGAATAATGGATATGCCACATTTTCCTTATTTATTCATCTGTTGATGTTCACTTGGATTGTTTCAATCTCTTAGCTATTACAAATAGTACTGCAATGAGCATAAGAGTGCAGATATCTCTTCAAGATCCTGATTTTAATATTTTGGATATGTACCCAAAAGTAGGGTTCCTGGATCATAAGATAGTTCTTTTAAAAAACTTTTGAAGAAATCCCATATTGTTTTCCATAGATGCTATACTATTTATCTTCTATATTACAGTGTATGAAAGGTTCAAATTTCTCCACTGGCTCACCAATATTTTGGTTTTTTGGTAATAGCCATCCTATATGGGGTGATTTCTCATTGTAATTTTACATTTCCTTGATAATTAGTGTCACAGAGCATCTTTTAAGTATCTGTTGGCCATTTGTACATCTTCTTTGGAGAAATGTCTGTTCAAGTCCATTGTCCATTTTTAATGGAGTTATTTTGTTTTTGCAGTTGAGTTGCAGGATTTCCATATATACTTTGGAAATTAACTCCTTATCAGATAAATGACTTGTAAACATTTTCTATAGCTCTGTAGGTTGACTTTTCATTCTTTGTTGTTGGTTGTTTTCTTTGGTATGCAGAAGCCTTTCAGTTTCATGTAGCCCCCACCTGTCTATTTTTGTTTGTGTAGCCTGTGCTTTTGGTGTCATATCCAAAAACCACTGTCAAGATCTAAGTCAAGAGACTTTGCCCTATGTTTTTTCCTATGACTTTTACAGTTTCAGGTGTTCTGTTTAAGTCCTTAATACCTTTTGAGCAGATTTTTGTATATGTTGTAAGACAATATTCTGATGATAGTATTTTGCATGCAGATATCCAGTTTTCCTATCACCATTTGTTGAAAAGAATATTCTGCCCCCATTGCTAATTCTTGGCACACTTGTCAAAGATCAACTGACTGTGTATGCGTGGGCTTATTTCTGCATTCTCTATTCTATTCCTGTTGATCTTTCTGTATCCATGCCAGTAAAATACCATTTTAATTACTGTGGCTTTGTAGTATATTTTGAAATCAGAAAGTGTGAGGCCTCCAGGGTTATTCTCCTTTCTCAATATTGCTTTGACTATTTAGGGTATTCTTTATGATAACATGTGAATATAGGAATTCTTTTTCTATTTCTGTAAAAAAGTGCCACTAGGATTTTAATGTCTGTTACATCAAATGTGTTGGTTGCTCTGAGCTGTCTGAGCATTTTAACAATTTTATTTCTTCTAATGCATAACTATGGGATGTTTTCACATTTTTGTGTTTCATTAGTTTCAACAATGTTTTGCAGTTTCCAGTGTCCTTTATTCTTTGATTAAATTTATTGCTAAGTATTTTATTTTTTGATGCTATTGTAAATGGGATTTCTTTCTTAATTTATCTTTCTGATATTTATTATTGCGTAGAAATGCAAATGATTTTTATGTTGGTTCTGTATCCTGTAACTTTACTGAATTCATTACTTTTAACATGTTATTTTTCTTGTGCTCCTTAAAGTTTTCTACATATATAATTATCTGCAACAGACATGATTTAACTTTATCCTTTCTGATTTAAAATAATTAATTTCTTTTTCTCACCTGATTGCTCTGGCTAGGATTTCCAGTACTATATTGAATAGAAGTGGTGAGAGTGGGCTTCCTTTCTTTTTTCTGATAGTAGATAAAAAGCTTTTAGTTTATCACAAGTGAGTATGACGTTAACGCTGAGTTTTTCACATATGGACTTTATTCAGTTGAAGTCTATTGCTTCTATGCCTAATGTTTTTCATGAAAAAGTGTTGAATTTTGTTAAATTATTTTTCTGCAAATATTAAAATAATCCCATGATTTTCATCCTTAACTCTGTTAATGTGACACATTTATTGATGTGTGTATGTTGAAACACATTTGCATCTCAAGAATAAATCTCACTTGATCATGATATATGATCCTTTTAATGTACTGATTTAATGTAGTGACTTAGTTTGCTAATTTCTTGTTGAGAATTTTTGCATCTATGTTCATCAAGGGCCTTGGCCTGTAATTTTCTTTATTCTTGTAGTAGTTTTGTCTGGCTTTGCCATCAGGGTACTTCTGGCCTCATAAAATTTATTTGGAAGTGGTTTCTCCTTCTCAATTCTTTTGGAAGAGTTTGGAAAGAATTGGCATTAATTCTTTAACTGTTTGGTAGAATTCACTAGTGAAGCCATCTGGTCCTGGACTTTTCCATGTTGGAAGGTTTTTACTACTGACTAATTCTCCTTTTTCATTATTGGTCTGTTCAGACCTTTTTCTTCATGATTCAGTCTTGGTAGGTTGTGTATCTAGTAATTTATCCATTTCCTTTGTTACATAAATAACTATTACAGTAACCTCTAATGATCCTTTTTATTTCTGTGGCATTAGTTATCATTTCTCCTCTTTCATTTCTGATTTTATTAATTTAAATCTGCTTTATTTTAGACTAACTAAAAATTTGTCAATTTTATCTTTTCCAAAAACCAACTCTTGGTTTCATTGATCTTGTCTATTATTTTATAGCCCCTATTTCATTATTTTTGCTCCAAATATGTAGTATTTCTTTCCTTCTGCTAACTTTAGACATTTTTTTCTCCTAGTTCCTTGAAGTATAAATGTAGGTTTTTTTTTTTTTTTGAGACCTTCCGTTTTTTTAATGTGAGTGTGTATTGCCGTAAAATTCCCTCTTATTACCATTTACGCTGCACCCCATAAATTTTGGTATGTTGTGTTTTAATTTTTCATTTGCCTCAAGGCATTCTTCTGATTTCTTCTTTGATTTCTTTTTTGACTCATTGGTTGTTCAAGAGTGTGTTGCTTAATTTTCACATATCTGTGAATTTCTCTTCTCTTATTGATTCCTAGTTTCAAAGCATTATGATTGGAAAAGACACTTGGTATAATTACAGTCTCCTTAAATTTGTTAAGATTTCTTTTATGATCTAACATGGAATCTATCTGGGACAATGTTCTATGTGTGCTTGTTAAAAATGTGTATTCTACTGCTGTTGGAGGGAAGGTTCTGAATATGTTTGTTAGGTTCATTTGATCTACAGTGCTGTTCAAGTCAGCTGTTTCTTTATTGATTTTCTGCCTGGATGCTGTTTCAATTATTAAAAATTTGGTATTGAAGTCTCCTACTATTATTATTGGTATGAATTTCTCCCTTCAGTTCTATTAATTTTTGCTATATACATTTTGGTGTTCTGATGTTGGGTGCATATATATTATAATTGTTATATATTCTTTGGTGAATATCCTTTTATCACTGTATAATCTCCTCTTAGGTGACAGTTTTTGATTTAACATATATTTTGTCTGATATAAGTAAAGCCACTTCTGCCCTCTTCTGATTTCCATTTACACTGAGTATCTTTTTCTACCCACCATCAAGTTCAGCCTATGTGTATCCTTAATTCTAAAGCAAGTCCCTTATAGGTAACATGTAGTAGGATCTTGTTTTATTATCCATCAGCCATGCTATGCTTTTGATTAGGAAACTTATTCCATTTACTTTTAAGGTAATCAATATTAGGGAAAAACTTACTATTCCAATTTTGTGCATTGTTCTCTTTTTATAGTTTTTTCTTTTGTTCGTCTTTTCTTCTCTTGCTATACTTCTTTGTGTTTTATTGATTTATTGTAATCATATATTTTTATTCCTTTTGTTTTGTGTATATTCTGCATGTATTTCTGTCGTTATCATGGAGCTTACATAAAACATCTTATAACTACCTATTTTAAACCAATAACAAGTTAACTTCAATAGCATACAAAAACTCTACTCTCTTTACTCTCCTGCGTAACACACTTTGTTATTGAAGTCACAATTTACACCTTTTTATATTATTAGATAGATTTTATAGTTATATTTAATGTTTTTATCTTTATACCAAAATTAATAGTGATTTATATACCACCATTACAGTATTACAGTATTCTGAATTTATTTTTATATTTATCATTACCAGGGCTCATGTACTTTTATGTTGTTTAGCATCCTTTCATTTCAACTTAAGAACTCCCTTTAGTATTTCTTATAAAGCAGATATAGGTGATGCACTCTCTCAGTTTCTGTTTGTCTGGTAAAGTCTTTTATCTCTCCTTCATTTTTGAAGAAATGTTGTGCTATGTAGGGTATTCTTGTTTGGTAGGGTTTTTGGTTTTTTTTTCCTTTCAGCACTTTGAACATATCACCCAACTCCCTTCTGGCCTGCAAGGTTTCTGCTAAGAAATCTGCTGATAATCTTAGGAAAGCTCCCTTGTACATGACAAATTTTCTTTTGCAATTTTCAAAATTCACTTTGTGTTTGACTTTTGTCCACTAGCTCATAATGTATCTTCATGTAGACGTCTTTAGATTTATCCTATTTGATCTCCTTTCTGCTTTATGACTCTGAATGTCCTCTTCCATTCCTCAATTTTGGAAGTTTAGGTCATTATACACATGTGTTTCATCCTTGTGCAGGGGTCATGCTACTCTTCTCTGTATCATTCCAAATTTAGTATATATGCTGCCATAGTGGCCATGAGCCATTTTTTTAAAATAAGCTTTCTGGTAATAGTGGTATCTACAGTGGTAATAAAGAGATTGATTCTTATGAAATGCAAAGTTTATCTTATCACCCCTCTAATTAAAATTCCACACTCTTCGGAATGACCTATGGCTCTTCAAGATCTGGGTCCAGCCCACCTTTCCAACCTTATCTTTCCCCAACACTTCTCTTCCCATCCTTTGAAGCACATGCACTGGTCATTATGGAAATTTTTTTTTAATCTCAAGACCAAATAGTCTCAGCTTCTTCAACAAATCTTATAATGGCTTTTCTCAGCTGACTAACTGGTATACTATCAAATGCCCTATTCTGAAGGAATCATCTATGTGATTCTATGGCACCAGCATTTCACTCTATCAATTATCACGATGTATTCATTCATCCATCTAGCAATATTGAGTGTCTAGTATAAGCAAGTATTATCCTAGTTCATGCATAGAGACCAGTCCTATCTGCTAGATCATCAGTAGTTAACAGAATATCAAAAATGTCAACTTACTTCCAATCTTAGTTTTCCCTGTGACTGAGATTCATAAAGAGCTTTTTACAACATAAACACAATTAAAAGACAATAAAAACTGAGAATTTGTAATTCTTAATTGTACAAAGTGATCATCACTTTCATAGTTTGGTGCTTTTGAAAGCATCAACTCATCACTAAACACTGTTAACAGACACATGATTTATGAATAAGTAATCAAAGAGATGGTCACTAAATAACGCTGTTGACCTGAGCTATCCATTTTATGGTTTTCTCTTATAGATTTTTCTCTTACAAAGATAGACTTATTGGTAACAAGACACCTCAAGAAGCCACAGCCCTTCCAAAATGTTAAGGCTGCAGATGCAGTTCAGTGGTACATTCAGGATCTCTGCATATCAAGCACTCAATTAATACTGCTGAGGTCCTCCAGTCTAGGAGACACATCTTTCTCAGAGACTCTGATCCCTCAGGAAATAGTGCTTCATCAGAATTTCCTAAAGGCTACCTGCTTCTCAGCAATTTTCTTTGTCTTGTAATCTTACTATTTTGCAGGGAAAAATCCTACTGTTTATTTACAAGGTGAAATTTTTAAAGGTAATGACCATAAAAACCTTTAAAACATATTTTTAAAAGATATTCTAATGGAAATCATCAAAACTAGTATTTCTATTAAATTGCTAATACCACATAACAGATCTCTAGCAAACATGATTTACTTTGGCCATGTACAAATAAAGCTGGAATAAGCAAAAATATGTAGAAAAATATTTTCTTTTTCTTATGAACCAGAACCTTTGAATGCCTTAATTTGTAACATACCGATTTAACATTAGCCCCATACTAGACTTTTTATGAAGGAGAACACAGGACAAAAATGAAATTCTGTGACACCACAACTGGCACCATTTTAAAATCATAGAGCAATGGGAGAGGCCGCATAGAAGAAACCAGAAAAATAAAACCGTATGCGAACTGCATCAACTCCATGTAAGTCATCCATCTTCTGGTATTTTTATGTCTGCTTCGTTACCAGAATTATTTAGATTGCAGAACTACTGGGTGGAGGTCATGTCCGTCTCTGTGTTGTGAATAGTTTTTTCTACATTGTAAGTATTTAGGAAACGTTTTCTAGCAGTAATGATTCAAGAAAACAAATCATAAGCAGTACAAGCTGTTGCACTACATGTTTATTTACTAGTCCTTTCTAAAATATAGATTATTATTTTGGAACCTCTACTTCTATCTTATTTAATGCATATTCCTAGACAAGAAGGAATTTCACACATTCTGAAAAATACCCTGTGCCCACGACTCCAGTGCAACCAGATACCACATGTTTTCACCTTCACTCTTATTGGTACTTTCTCAAAGTTTAATATATATCTGTTCCAGGTACGATCACATTTCTTCAGAGTCTTTTCAGGTCCTGTTTGGGTTTTAATATTTTGTATCAAAAATCATTTCCATTTAACATATGATCTACTCCCTAACTTGTGAATAATGCAATTTTATAAGCTTCTTTAAAGAAGCTCACATTTCACTGTCTGGCTAACAAAGCTTTATGGAAATTGTTGCTTAGAAGTCTCTAGTCACTTTTACTAGAAGCCTGATACTGATATCTTGGCTTGGCCTATTCATATGGTTCACAAAACTTCGGTTCCCACAAAGTATCCTGACATTTCTGTCAGTCTGGGTTCCTTACGTTTTCTATTAATTAAATGGAATTTTTAAACAGAGGCATTAATGTATTAATTAGTTTTGATGAAAAGAATAAAGACAGAGTTATTCAAAATTATTTTAATTTTTAAACAGTGTGCTTATCTTTCTACATATTTTACTTCCCTATAAAATCCAGACAATTTTAGGTGAATAGAAAGGAAGACTCCACAAAGGGGGCAGTTTTTAACATGGCTTCTGAAAATTTCATAGAATAAACATGAAGCTGATGTAGGTGGCAAGTGTAAGTGTGGAAGTGGAGGGCTGATGTAAGCAAGGTGTTCATATCCCAATATGACCAAATCTTTCAAGGAAACGCAGCACAGGAAATATCCTAAGAAATAATAAAGATGGCATGCGATACAAGGGGAGTGTCAGGATCAGAAAAGGTAGGTTTAAGTCAAAACTTGGTAGTACTTAAGAAGTTGTGGAGAGAGGAAAGCAGGATTATCCAGCAAATAAATACTGAAGTTCACATTACCTTGCTGTGGACTGACAGAGACCACACACTCCCCCATCCCAGTGAGAGGGATACATTTGAGCTCAGGTTCCCTTGGGCATGAGGGCACTCCCTTTCATACAACTCTCCGAAGAGCTAGCATAGGCACTCATATTGAACTCATACGTCTAGCAAAGGTCTTCTCCCACTTATACTACCAGGAAGTAGCTCAAGAGAGGGACAGTTACCCACACCTGTAACACAAGCCCATACTGTGTCCAGAAGTACCCTGTCGTCAAAGAATCTCTCTAGAGGATGATGAGACATCAGGGGCTATTGTCCTTTCTTGCTTCACCTTGATATACGTTTCCCTGCTCACACCCCCCAGGACATTATGGAATTCCCCCTAACCCACATATCTGTGGTTGTTGTTTATTTTTAAATCACCATTAATTTCTGAGCAGTGCAATGTGATTGCAGAAATATTCACTATCCTGAAAGGAGTGTACATGAGAAAGAAGCAGCTTACAATCAAGGGGTAAGTCAGGAGCTGGGTCAGGTTAGAAGATCTTAGAAGCACTACACTTTGAAAATACAACAGTGTTCAGTGTTATTGCTCTTAACTGTGGGTCATGATAAAATCAATGCTTAACTATTAAGAATGAAACATGTAGCAAAACTTCAATATACATTTCTAGGTTTTCTGATAGAAAAACCCCCAGAAAGGTTCATCAAGGCTGAACAATTTTCATCTTTATGACATGCCTGTTAGGCAGTGATCTAAAGGTAGGCTTAACTGCCCGTGGGCAATCCATCCTCGGTTTGAGGCTGGTGCTTTCTAGATGCAAAGTTATAGGAATATTAAATGTGACAGTGACAAGGAGCATGAAACAGGGGAGAGGACTAAAGGGTGTGGGAGTAAAACTGACCTTAAAAGGGAATTAATTGGAAAAGTAGAAGGGAAAGGAAGAGAATTACGACCCTCTGTTCTGAAAGTGGGTGACTGGGAATCAGTAACAGTACTGTGATGGCATTCCCAGAGAAGCAAAGAATACGAGGAGAAAGAAAGGGCAGAGGAGTAGAAAGAGGAGAAACAGAAGGAAAAGAATAACAATAATATTATTATTGCAGTTAACATTTATTGAGCACTTACAAAGTGCCAAGAGCACTTCTAAGCACTTTATTTGCATTTCCTCAAATGTCTCTGCATGTGATTATTCACAGAAGGACCAGACTGCTATACATGAGCATATTTATGGCTGGACATATGTTCTTTGCATCTCACTAGTACATATATGAAATTTTTGCAGAAATGTGAGGCTGTATTTCTCTTCTACACATAGTGACATTTAAGTTCTTAGGTATCTGGGTCAATTGCTCCGGCCACATGAAATATAACTCTTATTCCTGAGGACTTTCTATTACATGAATTAAAACGGAAGATTCTGTAAAGCAATGCTATGACTGTCAGCAATGTGTCCTCAATTTCTGGCTTCCAAGGAGTGAATATTAGGTAGTGTCCATATGAAATAACTGGGTTCATCTGTGCTTTTGGAGCTGGACCTCCTGGGCCACTATATGTGTGTAGTCCTCTCGATAATTTTATCTGCTGACCCAAATACAAGTGAGTTGTTGTTAAGTTCAGTAGTTTCTGTTCATTCCCTAGTGTTTTTTTGATTGTTTGTTTGTTTGTTTGTTTTTGTCTTACTAAGCATTTGCCTACTTGGCTTCTCTACTGATGTGTGAAAACACCAGACAACTAACATATCCAAAACAAACTCAGAATCTTCCACCCACTTGCAGACACTGGTCTGTGTTACTCAACACAGCAGTCTCTTCTCTCTTAATTCTTCCACTACAGAAAGTGGAAAACCTAAATATAGGCATCACTCATTTAATATTAGTAATTCATTTCTGAAAACTCCGACATTCCGGGTAAGAAATGTCAAATAAGAGCTTATGTCCCATTATTTTAAATGGGAAAGTTATAATATAAAACATATAATGCTAAACTCCCAATTTCCTAAAGCATAAGTAAACACATGTACCTAAAACACCCATTTCTACATAACTAACAAACATGTTCAGTCTTAAAATATTAAAATATTACTTATTAGTCTCTAAAGAATAACATGTTCTTAAGAAACATGTACAGAAACATGAAATTTGTAATACAGGATGACAGGATATACTATAGTAAATAAATTAGTTGAAAAAAACGCAACAAAATTTTCAGTGAAAAGTAAGCAGTTTCTTATGATGACATATTACTTGCCAAGTCAGGTAGAGATTTAAAACTTTAGGAAAGTTGAGAAGAAGGAGGAAGAGGAGGAGG